ATTCGTCCCTTCGGAGAGGGGAGATGACGGGTAGGGGTTTTTATTTCCGCTATTTGTGAGTATAGAAAGGACTATTAATGTGGGTTCCGTACCTTGTTAGGTGATGGAGATTTTTTTTTCTTTTTCTTTGTTGGGAGCTCAATTAAGCTAAACAGTCCGTGGCGACAACATGCGGCACTACCTCCTCTGGCTACACCGACCTGCACAGACAGTAGTGACTGTTTTTGTTTTTGTTCTGAAGGTGGTGGTGATAGTGGTAGCAGTAGTACTGGTACTGGATGGGTGATGTGGTAGCTGTTACACAGGCCACACTGGGTGGACACGGATGCAAAGCTCAATTTAGTACAATATTTCGCCAGATAATGACTTTTCAATCCTTCGGCGAGGATGATATGATTAGTGGGGGGAAGGAGGGGGGGGGGGTTGATGCTAAACACTGTTAACTGAGAGAGCTTATAACATTATTTTTAAAGTTATCATTTCTTAACTATTTCTTTTTTAATAATTTCACCAAACGATGCTTTTTTATTCCTTCGGAGTAGGAAATATTATTGGGAAAAAGGGGGGGGGGGAATAGTTCCACACACTTTTAGCTAAGAGAGCTAAAAACATTATTTTCAAGTTCTCATTTCTTAACTATTTCTATTTTAATACTTTCGCCAGGGATGATTTTTCAATCCTCCGGAGAGGGAGATATGACTGGGTGGAGGGGAGAGGGAAGGGGGGTGAGGGTTATGACAGACACTGTTAGTTGAGAGCTACTTTCTTTCTTTTCCATTTCACCATTCGGGGCCACAGCAACGCGTGGCAGGGCACAGCTAGTCAGAAATATGCGCACGCATTAAATGTAAATGAAAGCTACCAGAGGCGCCACCAGAAATGCAGTCTGTCGTTGATGGAAATAGTCAAGCTTGATGAGTTGGCTTTAAACATTTACAATAGAACGTATTCCTCAATAGTCTCCGCATGCATGCCTTTGATTTAGAACACAGAAATTATCACTATAAATAAAGATATCCATATACTTGAAAGTTGACTTGTTCTTCTGCTATGTCATCACAGTCGACACTACTGTACATTGGTCATTCCAGTCGTCTGATGCAGTATCCAAGCAGAAGCGCTGACAGAGAAAACACCTGGGGGGACCCAAGTCTCGTTAATTGCGCAAAAATAATAATAATATTAATAATAAAAATATTAATAATAATAATAACAACAGTCAGGCCTTTTGAGACCTCGTCAATCGAAATGTGCGGGTGGAGGATCAAGGTGCTGAGGTTTTGTTAAATTGCGTAATAATAATACTATTATGCGCATAAAGGCTACAAAGATAAAATAATAATAATAATATATTTGAAATAATTTGAAGTGAATAAACAAGTGCAAGAGAGACGTCTACGCACGCTGAGGTCTGGAGGGTGGCAAAAACAATTATTGGTCATGGAGGAGGACTCATGCTCCCTTAAAAAAAAAAAAAAAAAAAAAATCAGGGGTCGTGATTGGGGGGGGGGGGGGGGGATCTCAAGATGCATGAGCACCTAGGTTCTACCACCTGTGACCTCAAGGAGCCTCCTCAGACTGTTCCCACCAGAAGTTGGTTACCACGTCTCGACCTACAAAAGACAAAGACGGCTTCACCCGGATTTACTCCGAGGTCATCGCGTTAGTGTAAGAAACTCGGCACTATCCACTCACTGGGGCAAAAAGCAATCAAACTGCTAAGATTTCTGGAAGAAGTGAGCATTTAGTTTAGTTGTGTTTGTTTGGCTGTTAAGAATAATGTGAACAGAAAAGGAAACAAAAATCTGGGGCGTTGACAACTAAAGATATCACAAGTCACAAAAAGCACAAAAAGTTTATCACAAGAACGTGTCTGTCAGTGTAAATCAAAAAGCGAATACAAGAAGAAAAGGAAGAACTAAAAGCTTGCTTGCTGCTTTGCTTAAAAAAAAATCGCCACGTTCAACCAGCATCCATTGGTTATAATTATGACTAGGTTTGTGTGCGCCATATAATATGGTTTAGCAATGCTTGCCACCAAGCAGCCCTGAAAAGGCCTCTTGCAGTCTTGATGTGATCAATAGAGACAGACCCAAATACTGTCCCGACCGACGACGAAGCCGTCTACCGGCCAACCAACGGACGACCCGGTCGCTGATAACTAGTCTAGTACTCTTGCTCCTTATCTCCTCCCATCTCTACGCTCTCCCATTTTGGAGTTATATTTAACAAGTTGTACCGGAAACAGGAGGATAATCTCCCTTTTCTAATACGCCATCGAACAGGGATCTTGGAGAAGTGAGTAACCACAAAACAAATCTTCTGACATCTGTTTACACTTATAAAATCTGACGTGATAGCATTTACTTTCGTGAACAAGTATACGTAGTTAATGTTATTATTTATATTTTTTACGCTGTTAGTTTATTTTAATGTAATTCTTGTTATTTTAAATCTACTTTATTGAACGTTTCTAGCTGGAAATTGTTGGTGAATTTATACCACGAGAAAACAACCACATGTATTTACCAGCATTTGTGGAAATCAGTAAACATTGAAGATTATTAACTAGAAACATAAAACCTATAAGAGTATTTTAAATCAATCTTTTGGTAGCATATCATTCTTTCATGAATGTAAACGGTTGGAAGTACAGACTCATTTCTTTTGCGTTTGCACCTAAACCTGGTGTAGGCTGCGATATATCTTTTCGACACAACACATCCAATTTCGGCACTGCTCTGATTCGTCGCTTTTTACTCATGCTTGTTAGTGGAACTGCAAAACTGGAAGCTCATTTTATTTTATTAGCCATGTCTTCTCTGTTGTGTGTATTTTTTAAATTTGTACTCACTTGTATTTTTCCTAATTTCTGGGATTCCTCAGTAAATATTAGAGTAAAGGACTTGACACATGAAAGAAAACCAGTCTTGTCTTTCTTATAAATGTGTTACCGAAGTAATGCATCGAAGCTGCATGTTCACATTGCTCGATAAATAGAAAAATTGGTTCTAAACGCCGTACAGAATGAACTCATACATGCAGTATGTTCTCTACAGATTTGCTTTTAGATAGGTAGTTCTATATATAGCGACTACAGTTTCGACAATTTGCGGTCTTTTCGACAATTTCCGTTACCCGGAAACCGTTCGCAACTTGTTTCGGGAAATCTCGGCTGGTTTCCGGATGGATCCAAATCTCTCATGAAATTCCATTGGTGGGAATTTGGACCAGCTATAAATAGCTGAAAACAGCGGGAGGGAACCTGATTAACAGCGCATGTCTACGACAGTCCTCTGTTTTTCTGTTAGTCATCAGTTTAATAGAAAATAGCGGTCAATTCAAGGTTGGCTTTAGGCTTTAACCCTCTTAGCACGGACGGGCCGATTATCGGCCGGCGGATGTCTGGCTAAAAACACGGAACGGCCGATGATCGGCCCGATCGTGTTTCGCCTCGAACCACAAAGAAATCTCCTAATTTGAAACACTGAAAGTGATTCATTTATATTAACTGCGGTATCAGCTTTACACATGGCGACTTTCGAGTGTTTGGTATCGATGTGAAAATTGTTGTTGAATTTTTTAGATAGTGACCTGAACCGCTAAAAGTATGTCTGACTCGTATGTTTCTGCCCCTAAACTTGATGTTGATAAAACATTTGAATCAAGTGATTACACTAATTCTGTTGATACTGATGCAGGATTTAGTGTTAGTAGTAATAGTAGGAATCAGATGGGGACGCTGTTGTGTTCAGACCACAGCCCAACCATGGCTCAGGGTATATGCACCCGAAGGTGTTGACACTCCGGCACATCCATTTCTAGTGCTGACTGATGGTGAAAAACACATGTCACCTAAAGATATTATTGCTGTTTCACATATATATAAATGTTTTTGACTATTGAATTGCTTACAACATTTGTAAAAAGGCCAAGGATCAATAAAGTGATTTCAAATAAAAAAAATTTTTGTTTTTAGTTTTATGTTTCAAGCATTGAAGTTGAAAATTCAAATTCATATTTTCTATTTTTAGATATGCAAATGAGATAATTTGCATATGCATCAATTAATTTTAAAGATATTGTGAAAATCACGAACTTCAATCTATATCCTTCAAATAGATATATTATTTCATAGGGGTCAGAATAACAGAAATCTGTCAAAAAAATTAAATAAAGTAATAACCAAATTCACTGAAAAAATGCTCCGTGTTTTTGGCTAGATCTCTGAAAAACCTCCCGTGCTAAAAGGGTTAACTGTTACTTGTCCTGGTAATGCTAGTTATAATTGAATTCTCCGTCAAATTTTACATTTGTGTATAAAATTTCTTTCTGAACGGTGGCTAGGTAGATGTACAGTGACATTTTTCAGGCAATCGCTGGCTCAGCCAGTGGCTGTGTCTCATTGCCTGCCATCTTGTCCAATGACAGTCCAATGTAAACAAAGCCGATACAGAACTGCGCAGTAGGTTGCGCAGACTGCGCAGAAAAAACTTCTTGTTTCTGGGTCACAAGTTTTAGCGGCTGTTTCTTACATCTCATCTCCACAAAAACCTACATATCTCAGCTCAGAAATGACATACAAGCCTAAATGAGGTACCATTGGAAAGAAATTGTTTACAGCTATCTAACTGTGCTGGTTTTATTGGTGTAGAGGGCATTTTAAAATTTTTACTGAAGTAGCTACTATATAGTGATGCATATTTAAAAGACCAGACCAGGGTTTACACATTCAATAGGCATTGTAATAGAATTTTTCACCACCACAATTTTAAAATTTACTGGATGAAGCTGACTACTTGGCTAACTACATATTAATTATAGTGGACATTTTTGTGAACAAATTGGCTATTCAATTGCCACACTTGAATTTGCTGAAGATTATTTGTTGACTGACCAAGTTTCTTTTAGCATTTAGATGCTGAATATTTTTTGCAAATTATTGCAGTGTAATGCAGGTTCTTATATAATTTATATTTATGCTTTGATTGTTTTCCAGAATGGGAATCCGTTATAAATTGGCAGTTGGTCTGGACAAGGGTCACAAGGTTGACAGACTCGAGGGTGGAAGAAAGCAGAGACCTACTCGCAGAAAGGGGGTATGTAGTGTTGAATGCAAAGTTGTGAATGAAGAAAAAGAGATAAAAGTTAAAAATAAAATTGTAAGAATGTTAAAGGGAAAAAATACTAATAAACAGAAATTCCTGAAACATTGAGACTGGCAAATGGCACCTCATCTAGACCGAATCTAAGCTTGACTCAAGTAAAACTGGTTTCAAAATGGTAATTACTTGTTTGAAATACAGACTACACTGAAAAACCTTAACACGAACTTGCTTAAGAATACATGAGGCTGTCCCCAGAGTAACGGCCCTAATTATTAAGTGGGAAAAATACCCCAACGAGGCCGCAGTCACGTGTCAATTGTGCACTTCCGGGGACTTCCGTCAGCACCGGGAGTATCCCACACGCCGCTCAAGCGGCGTTTGAGCGGCGTGGATTGCAGCTAAACTAGATGGCTGGGACTTGTGAGCAAATAAAATGAAAGAAGCTGCAAGAGATGCGGTAGCTGCTGCTCGTGAGTCCCAGCCATGTAGTTTAGCCCCAATCCATGCGGCGTGGGGATACTCTTGGAGGTGACGGAAGCTCACAATTGAAGACGGAAGTGCGCAATTGACACGTGACTATACCCTTTGAGGGTATATTTTCCGCCTCTATAATTTAGGACCGTTATTCTATGGATAGCCCATGGTTTATGTGAACAAAATCTTGTCCAAGAAGGGATATATTATTGATTTTTTAAACAAAACCTGTATTTTTTGCGACCCTTAGAATTCACGTTAGCAGTTTTTAAAAAACTCTTTACGCATCATACGTTCATAAATTCCTACCTAAAGGCACAATGAACGAATGATGCACGGATTTTACGTCTCTTTTGACTACCCCTGTGATACTAAACCCCCGGGACTCGAGAGTTAATTTACAAAATTGTTTGGCCCACCAGTTGGAATATTGCAACGCTGCTGAAATTGGATGCTGTAATAGCATCTTCAAATGCTGCACAGCCCCCCCCTTTGTTTCAACTATCATTGTTTTACCTAGCCGTTTGTACTATTGTTATTTTACATAGCTGTTTCTCTCACTAGGTCTACTAGAAAGCTATCCTCTGAATAATGGTTCCAAATTATTGAGGCCGAATATATACCTGAACAGGGCCTCAGTCACGAGTCAATTGCAGACTTCTGGCAACTTAAATTGTTGCGCTCACGCTGCATGGATTGGGGCTTAACTAGATGGCTGGGACTCACGAGCAGCAGCTATCGCATCTCCTGCTGCTTCTTTCATTTTATTTGCTCTAAATTCCAGTCATCTAGTCTAGCCCCAGCTATCTAGTTTAGCCCAATCCATGCTGCGTTGGGGATACTCTTGGCGGTGGCGGTATAGTCCCTCGCTAGTATGCGATTGACACGTGACTAAGGTCCTGAATTGGGGATATTTTGAGGTCTTTAGGCACTAGTGAGGTAGAACGCTGAAAAGATCTATGTATGCATACTCATCGGTTAGGTTTAGAATGCTGACATGTCAAGGCAATTGTTTATGAAGGCGAAGTCATGAAGTAGGAACACTGCTTACTGTTGAACAGCACTGCAGACTAACCCGCGTATACTATTAGAGAAATTTCCATACCAAATCTCGCAGCCAACAAGGTGGGGGGGGGGGAAGCTGAAAAAATTTACTCACGCACCCCCCCACACAATAATTACATCTCTGTATTTGTTTAGGGGGTGGCGGAAACCTATACAATGGCCATTGAATACTGTGCCAGATATATCAGATAGGTGAAATAATAGTTACTAAAGACACAAGCTTGTTGTCGTATAGGTAACCGCCAGACAGCAAAATGCTTGAAAACGAGACCAGCAAATTTTGTTGTTGAAATTGGATGAACTGTGCCACATGATTGACACTACACAGCAGAATAACATTTTGTGAGGTCACGAATGTAGAATATTTCAGCACAGACACATCTATTCTAAAGCATTTGTTAAAGGATAAAGGGAGCTTTTTGTGTTGATACAAATGTCGTCTTCCCTAAAAGTTTTTCTGCTTGTCTTTGGTGCAAATAACATGTCATAAATGATCACATGCTAAATTGTCATGTTTCTGTAGTTAATTTGCCTAATTTTAATTAAAAAAATTGTATATAATGATTCTTTTGCAGTGAATTTAATTCTTTTTCATACACCACCAGACAAATCATGTGTTATTTCTCCTTACAGGCTGCAACCAAGCATGCCAAATTTGTAAGAGATCTTGTCCGTGAGATTGCTGGCTTCTCTCCCTATGAGAAAAGATGCCAAGAGTTATTGAAAATCCAGAAGGATAAGCGTGCTCTAAAGTTCTGCAAAAAGAGGGTAAGTTACTGTATTCTTGTGTAGAAGATAAATTGTATTAATTTTTTCCTACTGTTGTAAAAACAGTAATGCTAGTAGCTTTCTTTTTTTAAATGTAGGACAGAGAAGCAGGAAATATCAAATGCCTTTCATATTCAGGGAAAAAGAATAGCACACTGTCTCCCTAACAAGCGTGTTGTAGGAGGTGACTAATTAGGAGTTTCCTTCAGTCCAAGTGTATTTGAGACGTAAGAAACGAACAGCGCATGCAACAGAGATTTGTGAAACGGTGACTAATAAAACCAAAGTTTAATAGTGCTGGTGGCAGCAAATTGCTAAGACTGTTTTGTATATCAGCCTGAAATAATAAATTGAATACTGCCACATTGAAGTTGAGAAATAAAAGTTCTAATTATTTGATTTAAAAAAAAAAAACAACTTATAATTGCATTGAATACTATATATTTTCATCTTGTATTTAATTATGTTTCAGTTGGGCACCCACATCCGAGGCAAAAAGAAGAGGGAAGAAATGCAAGTGCTGTTGCAGAAGATAAGGAAGGCACAGCAGGCCAGGGAGCACCAGCAACACCAACAGCAGCAGCAACAGAAATAGTTTGATTTCACTTCAACAATAAAACACGTGAACTGTTTCACTAACTTGGTCTTTTGTAGTATTTGAATATATGTAGGTGTGATTTGGTTGAAATTTGGGGAATAGTGGCAGTGTATTTATAAAGATGTTTCAAAAGTTTGCGACAACAATTTTAGGATTATGTTGCATTTTCTTCTTCTGCCTTCTATCTCCCTTCACAAATAATCTTGTACTATGAGTCTTTCGTATTATAACAAATGTCTTTACCCATCTTTTGTTACTGCCTAATTAGGTGCCTGTCTACATTCTGGAGTAGATTAACATTAAAAGAAAGATTGTCTGATTTATACTTGTTTTTCGCCCTTTATGGATTTTTAGACCGTTTGGTCTTGCGTGATATAATTAGCTCATTTTGCATCTGGTTCTGTGAGTGTGGTAGAAGAGAAATAGCAATATTGTCATCTTTCATCCAATGCTTTTAAGTTTTCTTTGAATAGTTTACAATGAAAGTGGTGAATTTATTTCTCTGCTCTCTATTATGCCTAATGTGACAGTCTGGTTGGTCAGTACAGGATCTGTTTAGCTGAAAATCTGCTCACTACTTAGCTTTTTATCAGTAGAAAAAATCAAGCTCTGTTTGAATTCGCAACTTTTGGACCAGTAGCCTACCAGTGCCTAGTAGCTACACCAATGCAGTTTTGATTTAAAAAAATGCAACTTTTTAAATTTCTTGCTTACATAATTCACATTCAGTATAAAACCTTTAGCTTTAGATTGGAACAAGAAGAGGGGGAAAATGCTTTTTTCTTGAGTATTTGAAAATAAGGGAACTGGCCTAGGAACTCATTTCTCAGAAGTATACTTTAAACCATGTGGAACTACATTGGTCAATATCAGGAATACACTTGGTGCAAGGTGGGAAAGTTGGCAAACAAAAATATTTGGTTTGGTATGTTGTATGTGAACATTGGAACAAGCTGGGGTGCCAACACTATGACAGTTGTACACTGGATATGTACAATCAAAACTAGTGTGTAGCATGGAAGCATACTCCACTTCAGCCAAATCACACACACACTTGACAAAATACATAACACCAGTCTCAAAAGCACAATCCATGAGCTGGAGGCACCCTCTGGCCTAGAGAGCTTAAGCCTTCGAAGGTAAGAAAAGGTGCTCACCCTAACAGACAAATTAAACGCATGAACAACCCCATGCATAGATAAGCAAATAACTAAAAAGATCCTTCGACATGGGAGAGCATAGACCTACAGCCTAGCCATACAGTCACAACAATTCCAGGCATAAAGGCTGAAGAATGACCTAGTACTGCATGCATAGAAAAAAAAGACTGAGGAGCTCGATTAGTCATCATGTTGCAAGATTAGACCACATTAGAAATGTCATGCGCCTCCGGAAAACAACAAACTTGAGATCAGAGCAGCAATCAGTCATCGATGCAGCCAAGGTGCTTTATAAGAGATTAAATTCAGCATAGTTGTTTTCCCTTTGTGACTGCATGTCAGGACTCCATGGGATTCACGAGACAACATGGAGAAAGAACTGACCCGCCAGCTAAATAGACTCACAGAAAACAATCAAATCATTTTCCAGTGGATATCAGCTCACTGCAGCATACCAGGAAATAAGTTAGCAGACAGACTTGCTAAAAATGGAACAAAGGTTAAACAACACAAACATCTATTGTCATTTACCAGAAATCAGAACACTTATCAAGGGAAAATACAAGGAATTGTGAAGGGAACAAACAGTAAACATCCACAAAACTCCATCAGCAAATAAGGAGAAAGCAACAACAGTTTTCTGTCTATGAACAGGGCACTGCAGGCTCAACTACCACATGCATAAAATAAAGACTACAGTCCCCACTGTGCCTGTCAGACATGACCACAAACACCCGAGCACATTCTGCAGACCTGTCCACTCTATAAAACTACAACTTCGAAAAGACACCTGGCCTCAAGAGCAAAGTGTGCAACCCACCTGATGGTCTGATTTGAGCATACAGAACTAAACGCAAAGAAGTTTGTGGACATGCTGGCTTTGTAGCTGGTATATATTATTTTCTTAAAAATTATAAACGTTGGCAACACAAACAGATTGTGATCTATATTCATATTTGGGAAAGCTATGCTTTGACACACCAACACCACAAAAAAATATTACAAAACAAGTGCGTATGGATGTTGGAACTTTTTCATTTTTATGAGCAACATTAAATTCACTATCACAGTATAAAGTTTGGATAATTGAAAGAGTAAATGTAGAGAAAAGTAACACAATTTCGGTACAATCAATCAGATGTAGTTTTCTTCTTTTTCAAAAGCACACATGCCACACAGTTCCAACATCACAGCAAATGGGTTGCCCCACGGTGGCCCTGTTCCTGCGCCAGCAAAAACAACAATCTATTACTGTCCCTTGCTAAAAAAAAAAACAATTGCTATCTCAGCAAAGTCAGTAGCATACATATGCATAAGGCAGCTGCCAGATGTGCCAGCATAAAGTCTTTGGTGAGGGTGATAGCTAGCACTTCTAACATCAAGGGCTCCAGATCCTGAAGTATGTGAGATTTTTAAAAAGCCACTAAGCCACTCAAAAAAAAAAAAAAAAAAAAAAAACTTGGTAACGACTGTACGCAGCCTTCATGTTCTCTTGTGGACAGTAGATGTGTTCTGGTGACATATGGAATGGAAGTTGACAATAAAGCTGGATGCTAGGTACTGCTTTTTAGTCAATTTTGGAATGTCAGATAAATCAAAAGTAATAGCAATGATAGTTTGGTGCGAAGATGTATCATGTAACTTTCCCATGTGGGTTCCGGGGCCCTTTTGTGAGGAAAACAAGAACAGACCTACTGCCTGCCCAAAAGCATGTTTTAAGAGTTGACTAATTGGGAACTTCCTTTAAAGTTGGAGAGCATCTGCTTGAGAGGCAAGGAACCAGCAGTCTGCATACAAATGACTTAGATCTGTCAAACGGATGCACACGCAACACTCCGGTTCTGGAAACAGGACTGCGGTTCAGCACTGGATGAACCAGAACTTTTTGTCAGAGTTTACAGCTGATGAACACGAAGAAGATGACAGAAAAGACACGGGTGAACAGCTGACCATAAAAGACCACACAAAAACTGCTATTACTACAGGTATTTAACACTTGTGGTGTTTGTAGAAGCATCTTTGCGCCTAGTATTTAGGGCTGTGTGGTTAGTGCAGACACTGGACTGCAGGCTAAGATATTATTTTTTGCCCCTGACAGTTAAAAAACCAACAACCCAAAACCATAACCTTATGGAGGATTCAACCCTAGGTCACTTGCATGAGAGCCCAGAGTTCTTAAATGTCAGCCGGCTGCTGTTTACGAATAACTTTATGGAACTCTGGATCCAAGAATTACATAACTTTTTTTTAGTTCGCTTTGAAAAGTTTGAAAAATAAGGTTGGTTTTGCAGGACTTGGGAACCACTGCCTTTACATATGGTGCTTGGCCTGTATTTATCAACCAATCAGTCACACCGGTCAACTTTACATCATAAGACATTTCCTGATATCCATTTTAGGGTGGGTCTGTCTAGAAGTCTCCAGTGAATTACAGAGATCTACCCGGTGCAGTTTTAAACAAAAGACCTTTAGGCTAAACAAGGTGTTACGAAAGGACACACTCACACCCCACACCTTTACCTCTACAAAAGCCAAACTATTTAAAGTCCAGCAAAAACATTTGCTCTTATGTGTGTTTTCTTTTGTCAAGCTACTAATTCATTACTGTATCAGTTCAGAGTATATATATGGCTCACAGCTGTGTGTGTTTCCTTTTGTCAAGCTTCCCATTTACACTATATGTTTATTAACCTTTCTGTATCAGCTGAGAGCATATATTTGGCCCATAATCTTCTATGTTGTCACAAATGCAATTTCAAAGCATTAACCAGAGACTAGATAGCAAAGTAAGGCAATCAACACACAGACATTAAAAAAAAAAATAGCTCACTCAGCAGATTCACATTTTATTGCACCAATGAAAGTGGAAGTAATTATCCTTTGATTAGCTGTGAGAACAGAAATGAGTGAAATTGTCAGCTTTTATTACAGCTTTTCTAGGTAGATCATTTGCTACATTCACTGTGAAGATTTGGTATGCAAGTAATCCCCAGCATACGTTTGTCTCTCACAAAGATGGTACAACCTAATATCCTCTTGTTTCTTCTCTTTCTTCACATACACCGGCTGTCAACATTGCCCATGAAATCAGTTGCAAGATACAGTTACATAGGAGGTCCATACAAATGGTTTCAAAGTTCTGAGGGAAAAGACAAATGCTGATTACTAGTGTGTTCACCGGTTGTACACTCCAGAGGAAAATTCTGGTTGTTCATCCTCTTCTAGACTTTGGTTTAAGAGTTTTGTGTGCACATCAGTTTTACAGATCTGGCTCATTTGTGTGCAGATTGTTCCTCACCTTCTGACTTCAAAGGATACATCCCTAATTAGTCGATTTTTACAACATAGTTAGTTGGAGAATGAAGCACTGAAGCCCAGACAGGGACCCTGTTGTTTGAACTGTCTCCTTTCACCCATCTGTCCATTATGACATTCAGCAGGTTAAGTAAAGGGCACATGATGCTAAATTTATAATTGTACAGACCAATTGCATTCGATGGGTAGAATTTCAAATAGGTCGCCTTTGTTAGCCACGATATTACCATGTGCCCTTTTAAGAAGGGGGCGACCTTGGTGCAGTGGTTAGTTAGAATTCTATATCTTCGGGCCTGTCAGGAAATACCTGGCCACTATGCAACTGCAGCTCTTATTCGACAGAGTTTTGTCAAAAATTTGTTTGTCTTCCTAATTTCTCATTGTATCTGGAAGCCAGAATAATTTCATTTGCTATTTTGTTCTTTTTAAAGCTTTATAATAATAACAGGCTCAGCTCTATAACAAAGTGACAATAACAGATTCATGGTAACAGGTTAACCATCGAGATTTTGTATACCCTTTGGTTTATCTCTCACTGGCCTCTATGAAGGCTGTAGTGGGACACATGTCCACCTATAAAATGCCAGCTGACCAGACTCTGGACTTTTCTACTTGTCTCTGCCTTGAAATGGGTTTTGTGTCCAAATGCCTCCAAGGGTTATGGTGGTAAAATGGCTAACTGATGCTGTGATTTTGATCAAAAGCATGAGGGTATTTTAGAGGTTACCACGTGAGTGACAACAGGATCTGTCATTTCATGAAACCTTATGCTAGACTATTGGAACAATGCCTGTAGTTAAATTCATTAAAAAGCAAAGACTGAAATAATTTGGCCATTTAATGAGAATGAATTCAATGATGTCAGCAACAAGAACATACAACATAAAAGAAGAAACACCAGCATGTTGAAGGATTCACTGATACTTTAAGACATCACAGCATACCAAGCTTGCCTAGCTTGAGAACTGATCATCTGTTAATCTGCGACGCCTAGTGGCAGAAAATGGACAACAGTAGATGACTCCTACCGCACGTCCACATCAAGCACCACATATAATCACCATCAGTGATCTAAACTGAGCTGCTAGGAACTCTCAAGGATCAAAAGAGATGCAGTATTTAGAAGCCACAAAGTGAAAAATCTGGGATTCATGTCCACCATCTGTTTAAATGCTCATTTGAAAAAATGAGCTTAATTCACTGATTGTAATTCCTGCTGACAGTTTTTAGGTAAAATGTCCATTGGTAATCCTACTGAATGACAATTTTGGTTCAACATTTGGTCAATTGAGAATCCCCTAACTTTTCCACTTTTTATCAAATGCCAAACAGGAAAAGATCATACTAAGGGAAACCACAGGTCGAAATGTCCACAACCAAAGGCAACGATGACTAGAATACAAAACAGTCCTGTGTGTCCATCCCTATATTGTCGCTAGCTATCCATGTGCAAACTATCCTTGTATACAAGGAAAATCTAGCATGCTGAGGAAGCGAAATACGCATAGTGTAGAGGTCATAGAATTATCAGATCTGTGGATTGCCTCTCGCTGGTCCCTAAAGCCAGGCTCAATATAAGCATGAGAGTGGGTCCATTAATAGAGCACCATGTATCGACTCTGCAAAAATTTAAACCTCATTGGATGGTGAAAAATATCTACGAACTGTTCCTGCCACCTTTGATATCCAATCAGCATGATTGTGGCTGTTCTGGATTGGCTCCCGAAGCGCAGCAACCATCAATTAGGAGGCAAAGATAATGCTGCGACAATGAGGCAATGTTTCACAAAACTAACCAGGGAGGCTAACTTACAATAAATATCTGAAAGATATGATGGCTGAAGCCCAAGTATCACAGCTGTGCTATAAACATGCTGTGTTTGAGATAGGTGAGGCACTCGAAGGTAAGGGAAAACAACCCTGAAAGTGTCTGTCGAAATCGGATTTACTAAGCAACGGGCTGGACGAAACAGCGAAATACATTTTATGATGATTATTAGACAGCAGACAGTTCTAAAACCCCCTGTGTGGGTTCCGGGGCCCCATTGTGGGGAAAACAAGAATAGACCCACTGCCTCCCCAAAAGCATGTCGTAAGAGTCGACTAATTGGGAAGCTTCCTTTGAAGTCGGAGTGCATCTGCCGGAGAGGCAAGGAACCAACAGTCTGTATTCAAGAGAATGAGATCTGTAAAACTGATGCACACGCAACACTCAGGTTCTGGAGCAGGACTGCAGTTCAGTAGTGGACGAGCAACCAGAACCTTCCGCCAGAGTTTACAGCTGGTGAACGTGAAGAAGAAGTTCTAAAACCACCAGGTTCTGTCAGGCTGATATAGTCAGGTTCTCTCAAAAGGGTCTCAGTATGGCGGGTGATCACTTTCCCAGTTCTTTAGAGTCAATCTTTAGAGTCAATGAACAGACAGACAGGGTAGGTGCTACTGACCAAATACTTGGATGCTGAAAACACTACAATGGAAGATTAGATATCACTGCGGAATGCTTAAGCCAACATTGGTCACCCCCTGGCTATCTTTTTATTGGTAACAAATACTGGAAAAAAAGTCAGGTAATTTACAACAAAAATATCATATTTTTACATATTGTACTTTCTGAGCACACAACTTTGGTCAGTTAAAAACTGTAAGTATATATTCTTCTCATTACCATATGAGAAAAAACACCCGTACCCTGGTTTTGGTCTTAATGTTGAATCCAGTCTGAAAACATAATAGCAAAGCTTAACTTTCTTTGCATGTCTCTATAGTAATTGTTTCATTTTTTTTGCTTGTTTAACTGTTCTTTGCACTTATCGCTTCTTGTTTGTTACATACCAGATGTTTCATTTATGTTCTGCCTCCCATGCATAATTTAATATGTTACATGTTAAATTAATTCAGTTCTTATTAGATTATGATAAATTTCTGTCATCTGTCTCTTGTGATCTGACCTCATTTGATGTGAGAAGGATAAGAATGTGATTGGTGAACAGTTATCCTTGTGGTCCTGAGCTTAGTATGGGTTTTGTGACCAGCATAAGTTTCAAATTTTCCAAGAAGAAATTAACAACTGGAAGGGACTAAAATTGAACACACATTATGCATTTAGTGGTGATTTATCTTTTAACAGATATGTACCAAGTTTCTTTTCTTTTTCTATCAGCAATATGGTGCACCATATTTCTTTTTCTTTATCTATGAACTGTGTACTGTGCAGCATATTTCTTATCTTGACTTATGAGAGGAGCTTGTACTGTTCTTTGAATTTCTTTAATTTATTTGTGAAAAATAAACCCATTTTACAGACTAAATGAGCATTCTGTTGAGAACAACTGACTGAAAAACAATTAACTGATCTTAAGAATTAATTTTGTTAAGTAATATAGCAATTAGTACCAAAGACACACAAGAAAATAAAAAAAATGTAAGTCATATAATCCTTATCAGCTGTTCATCATATGTCTGAACAATAAACAACATGAAAATGCATAATTCAAGATTAATCTGTTAATAAATGTAAACATGAAATTCATTGCACTATCTGTACATGAACATATCTATAAGAATGACATAAAAATGTGAAAAGAAGTAATAATGACGTGAAATGGGGGAAAAAAAGGCACAGTGGAAGTGGCGCTCTTGTTGCTATGAGCGTTTTTTCCGAGGGGAGACTGTGTTCGCTGGAATGTCTGGCCTCAGCTCTCTATACTGCAGCTGAAACAAGTATTAAAAGTCATAGTTAGTTCATCTGCTTAACATGTAATTTAATTAAATATTCACATATATAAATAATCTATGTATTCTGTTTCTTTTTTCCTCTTTAATCACCCATCAGACACTTACATCCTCCAATGAACGTAAGATTGTGACAACAGAGAAAATTTGCTTTAGAAGCGCTGCAGGAGTTTCAAGGAAAGACAGAATATGAAATCGGATTAATGCTAGGAATAAAGCCAGTCTTACAGGTCATCAAAGAACAACAAATAAAGCGGTTTGGACACCTGAGACACACTAAAACGTTAAAACGGGTATAGAGCAAGTGGAAGACCTCAGAAGAGATGGAGTGATGGCATTTAGAACAGCCTTACAGACATGAACATCAGTCTTATAAGTGCTCTTGACAGAACTCATCAACGAATATTACACCTCCCTCCGACACCTCTGATGAGGAACAAGGTGAAAGAGAAGAAGAAGAATCACCCAGTGGAACATAGAACTTCAACACATGCCAAGTCCTTTGTAAGTTTGTTCATGATTAGCTGGATTTTGCAGCTTTTCTACGGGATGATGTTGTAGACTCAAGCCAACTCTTTTTAGTCGCCTCTTGTGACATGCAAGGAAGAATACAGGGTTATTATTCTTTGCTAAACTCATGCGCTTTGGTAACAGAGAGATGACACTATCTCACTGCCTTCTAAATACATAGCCTTAAATGAACTGTAGGCTCAATATATCTTCTTCTTAGCGCTCACAGGCTGTAAATTCAGGCAGTCTCCCTTTATAACCTGCTTGTCAGAAAGCAGTCTTCTTTTCCCAGTAAGGGCATCCATTAGTCCCTGGGGACTATGGAGATGTGGCGCTGGCTTTGGGAGCAGCATCTGCTGTGACTGTAAAGTCTGATGTGGGAGTGGCAGTCTCTGATACATAGGATACACAAAAAAGTAGATACTCCCTCGTTAAAGAGGCTGATTTTCTCTCTGGCGTCTTCTCTCCATAAAAAATGTTCAATTTATTATTTGTCTTCATCTCCTCCCCCCCTCTCCCCCCCCCCATGTGGGACCCAGGACCCCATTATGAGAAATAAAAAAAAAGAAAAGAATAGACCCACTGCCGCAAAAACATGTTGTAAACATCAACTAATTAGTGATGTTTCCTTCAAAGAAGGAGTGCAACTGCCTGAGAGGTGAGGAAACAACCGTCAGCATACAAAAAAAAAACAACAACTAAGGTACTGGAATAAGACTTGCAGAAGTGGATGAACAACCTGAACTTTCTGCTGGAGTTTACAGCAGTGAAAAAAACTTATAAAAGGAAAGCATGGCTTTAAATTAAAAAAAAAATCTCATTATGATTGTAACTGAATGCAGCATTAGTACACACAAGATTACTTACCAGTTCGTCATCTGAAGGAACTCGAGACAAGAAGTCCAATAATTCATTATTCGAAAGAGCATTTGGCTTACGCAACTTCTTTGTGAATTTATTTATACCTGGTGGTGAAAGTCCGATATATGGAAGTTTTAAAATATTATATATATATTATATATATATATATATATATATATATATATATATATATATATATATATATATATATATATATATATATATATATATATATATATATATATACATACATACATACATACATATGTACACAAACATACTCTCATATACATAATAATTTCTGCACAGAAAATGTAATATCAGTAAACAGACTACATTTTTGTATTAGTACACATATAAAAGTTTACTATATGAATTTTCTACGAGCTTTTGCTGGAATGGCAGCCACTGTGGTATAGTGGTTAAGATGCAAGTCAGCCTTATGAGCATAGGTTTGAATCTCCATTAACATGGAATAAAATTATTGACCTAAGCTCACAGGCTGTAAAAGTAAGTAAATGATCCTTTTCAAATGCAACACCCAGGTTCACACAGCCACGGAGGATTATCAAATTATGTTTTGGAATATAAAGTGGGCCACTGACTACATCACCCCCTGGGTGCTTGCTGACAGTATAAGTCTAGCACCATGAACCCAGTATTCTTCATAGCATTGAAACAGATATGTACAAAAAAGTTTCCTTAATATCCTCTTCTTCTTTCATTTGCCTATTTAAGTTGTCCATATTAGCATTTTTTGTCCCTCGTCTACATTTTACTGTAATTTTTAGTTCGTTCAGTGTTCCATAGAGTTTACATTTCACTGTGTTTCTTTCTGACCAAAAGGTTTGCCCTGATGTATCAAATTTTCTAACTACAAAGCAAAGCTCTCAGTCCTACTGATGGCAGCTCAGTATATGAACAAGCTGCAAATTACAGCAGGCAAGAAGATGGTTTTTCCCACTGACTCACTGTCATCTATACAGGCCCTTGAGTCCAAACCTACCGACAGCACTATCTTTTCCAGTCAAAACTCTCATTAAGAGAAAATCAGAAACAAATTGAAAAACCAACACTGGTTATAACTGCGAAAAAGATTTTCTGAAACACCTGAACAGAACAGACCAAGTCACAGTTTTTCGCTCACGTACTGGACACTGCAGACTCAATAAACACTCATATAAATTAGGTATGAGCAAAACAGCTCTTTGCCAATGTCTTTGTGAACAGACTTCAATGAACAGACTTCAGAACATGTCCTGCAAGACTGTCCTCTCTTGGCAGAGCTGTGGAGCAACATATGGCAACACACAGTAGAACTGACAACTAAGCTTTGGGGAAACCTAAGAGACCTTGAAAAGACATCCCAGTTTATGGCTCACAGTGGATTATGTGCATGACCAGAGATCGCTGAAGAAGAAGTATCAAATTTGTTGCAGGCCTGGAGTACATGCTCTGCTGTCTGGGTCACATTTCTGCAGGTGCACATGTCTGATACGCCTATCTTGAATTTTGTGTATCTGTAGTTATGTAACTGGTTGTGCCCTTTCTGAGGCGAAGGATAATGACTTGTTTTGAACTGTCCACAATAATGCTGGTGGTTTCCTGATCGATTTAATGATTAAGGCCCCAGTGAAGCTAGGAATTTTTCATGTGGACTTTTAGTAAATTTTCCTGGTAGTAAGATCAGATGTCCATGTGTACTGATAAGCACATAAACATAATCTCTTGGCAGTTAGAGATCAAGAAGACTAGCCTAACAGAGCTGCCTGGGTGAAATTTGGAGTTAAAAATCTACCCACAGTATTTCAGGATCTTTTCCAGTTCTACGGAGTTCATGCACTGCACTGAGATTCTTCTGACTCAGGCTTAAGTTAGAAGTAGAAGGAAGCATCTATGGGTTACTAGTCTTGTGCCCTAATGTTGATCCATTGTTCAAAGCTAAACCTAAACCTGCCTATATTAAAAAACAAATGCCAGTAAGATAACTGTATACATTGTATCTCATGACAATGGAAAATCTGTAGTGCAAGACAGCCTAGCATATGACATCACAATTTCTAGAATGAGAATGGAGGTTGAGGCGGTAACTGGCGCTCTCCGGTGGCTAGAGAACCAAGATGCATACACATGTCGTAACAGACTCTGAAAGCATGCTGAGAAAGGTGAAAACAGGGATGCTTCGGAAAGAATGGCGGGCTTCACTGAAAAGGTCACAGGTAGTGAACATACTTTGGATCTTTTCTCCAGGCAATGCCGGCAAAGTGGGTAATAAACAGAGGGACAGATTGGCTGGATCTGCACCACTAGGTGGTGAAAGGATACATGACAAGGCAGATGTGGTCAAGGCCCTTTGGGAACAAGCAACGAAATCAGTAGAGAAACAGGATTATTATGGCCTGGAGAGAATGAGGCACCTGGGTGTAATAAGATGGTCTGGCCGGCTCACTAAACTCAGAGAAAAGGCATGACGAACACATAACCAGATTGTAACCAGTACCATCAGTATTAGAACTCTGCGGTGGCTGCTGAAGATGAGGACGGAGCATGCATGGGAATGTTCTGAGTGCACAAGAATAGGCCACACACAGCTTTTTAGTAAGTGGATTTTTTTACTTGCCACAATATTTATGTTTTCATGACTTTTATTTTGATAACAAAATCTTTGTAAATGACAAATGCTTAGTTAATTTCTGAGTAACTTTGTGTGCACTTTATCTTTTCTGTGAATATTTATTTCATGCACTGCTGGCATGATCTGGACAAATTATATAAGTAAGTAACACCACAGTTGTAAACATAGGTCATGTGGACAAAAAACATGTTTAAACAATGTGGTAGACCTACCCCAGGCTAGCAGCAAATAACGAAGTGGAATATAGAAAAGCACAACACACCCTGTCAACAGAGCAACGACAGCCAGAGTTGACAACCATGGCACACTCCAGTTGAATGTGCTAGAAAAACAGGAAGTAGAAGGTAAATTAATATTATTATAGTTAATTATTTAAAAAAAATTTACATAGCGTGACAAGACATAACAAAATCGTAAGCACAGAAATGATAATGCACATAAATGGACACAAAACAGGCACAAAATATTTAATTTGTCATTAGATGATAGTTGAGGGGAGTGGATTAGCTTCAATCACTTTTACAAAATAAAAAAACAAACTCTAACCCACATCCTGATGTAGTGGATAAGATGTTGAATTTTCTTTGAAAAGGGTGGACAATTGGGGGAGACCACAGCAAGTAGTGCAAACAATAAAACTTGGATAGTTCAGCCAGCTTGTATATGATGTGTTTAATCATGACCTAGTTACACTCTAATACGCCTTTTCTCTGAAGTTTTTCTCCTGCTGACTGACACTGATCACAAACTTTTTGTTGCAGAGTTTAAAATAAAACTGAAAAAAAAAAGAATGTCACAAACTTTGAATATATAGGCTCTATAATAAATAGCAACGGAGACTGTTTGACATAAATTAAAAGGATGATGGCAATAGCAATGCAAAGATTAAACAGCCTAAAAAGTCTATAGTTAAGCACCAGCAAGGAAATCAAAATTAGAATTTTGATAGCATGTATCTTATCTGTAGCAACATACGGATGTGAGTCATGGACTATCTCCCATTCCTTAAGAAAGAGAATAAGGGCTTTTGAGCTGAAATGCTATAGAAAGATTCTCAGAATATCTTGGACGAGAAAGAGGAGAAATACTGACATCTTGAAAGATCTGAATATCAAGGAAGATTAGCTAATAAACAGCATCCTGTCTCGGAAGCTGAAATGTTTTGGTCATATCAACCGCCATGACGGATTGGAAAAAAACTTATAGAAGAAGGCATAGTACCAAGAAGGGGAGGCAGGGGCCAACCAACACGAAGATGGGCACAGGATACAAGTGACTTCTTGAGTATGAAGGTGCATGAGCTGGGGGGGGGGGGGGGAGACTGAGTTTCTTTCAGGCAGACCGTGATGAGAGCGACATTCTGCAAAGGACCTGCTACATAATGATGATAAATGGTGAAAATTCGGTAATGTCTAGTTGTTAAACAACTGTGTCTTAAGATATAATAGACAGGTAAACATTAGTCTCTAGTACCTATTTCCCACTGACCTATTTAAAAGCCAACAAGAATAATAATAATAAAAAAACTGCTTACATTGTTGTGGTAATGTTTTCTTTAGATTGTTATATCCAAAACACTCAAAAACATCCCAGTCCTGCTCACTTCTAAAAACTACTCAGCAATTTAATTTTTTAACTCTTTAAAAGGATGATGACTCATTGTATAGGATCGATAATTCCTTATATATGTAATGGGGACCAATATTCATTGGTAGAAACTGTATGTAAAATGCTCATTATGTTTTCTTTATAGCCATAATTTTGTAAACATCTCAATATGTTACACACAAAAAACACACCAATACAGCTATTGAAAAAAATTTCTTAATGGGAAAAGGGGACAGGGAGAAACAGAGAGAGAGCAGAGAGCATTACTAAATACTTTAGGAGTTCATTATAAGAAAAACAATCAAAATAAACCTACTTTTTAACTCTCTCTCCTAAAGAGGCTATTGTGTCTAGATACTGCTGCACAGTGAGACAAACTTCTTGGACTGCATGATATCTGTCTACAATGCTCTTTTTTTCTTCCTGCTGTTGAAAAAACAAACATGAAAATATGGATGTACTTGTGCAGTGAGAACTGTCAGACATCAGCACAGTAAAGTCATATCTGCGTTTTATAAAGAAGACAAGAAAGGCTACTAACTTACACCAAGCATTAGCATGTTAACATTACATGGACTTACACAGACTGTCTGTGCAAAGCAAAGAATGGGCTGATTTTTTGTTTGGCTACCCAAGTGACAAAAGTATGAATATTTGCAATCGTCAGGGCAGACATTCTGAAGGCATGCTATGAATAAATGCTGATGGAAGAAGGGGTGTTTTATGAAACATGTGTAAGGCTATGTGAATGTAAAGTTAAGAGTGGATATAGCAAGACAAAATTATGAGATGTAGGGGTGTTTTATGAAACATGTGTAAGGCTATGTGAATTTAAAGTTAGGAGTGGATATAGCAAGAAAGAATTATGAGATGTATACAACCAGTGTGTTAGTTAAACAACCATCATCTATATAAATCTGAAGACTTTGTTGGGGGGGGGGGGGGCATCTATGAATTGTCCAGAATGCTATAATGTTGATTCTTTAAGTAATCAATAATATTTTCCAAATCATTTCCTTACAAAACTGAATAATACAATTTTAGTACTTAGGTCTCTATTTTCTCTTTGTAACAGACCGTTACATACACAACAATCGGTACTTAATTTATAACTTACCCCTGACGTCACGACAACGTCACGGGAGACATTCCCAATAAATTCTAGGGTGTTCAGGTTGTAGTTTCTCGCAATTTCTCTACAGTAAAGTTTAGGGTTAGGATTAGAAGACACTAGATGAACACTCAAAAAAAAGCACCACACAACAGCACACTTGCACCCCTTGAAATAATGGACTGTCAAGTCAGCTGTGGATTTCCCACGGGGATTTCCTGTTTGGGGTACGTTATAAATTAAGAACCCAACAATCAACACTATATAGATATGGGGTCAATATCATGCTAATGTATCTTTCCCTCATATTTTCAGACACCCATTTGAGGCTGGATCAACCTGGGAGCCCAAGTCAGTTTGAAAATAATCCCCACATTAAGAGGGAATTGATTTATGACCCTTGGATTAGCAGTGCCATACACTGCCTTGTCTCCTCTGCAAATGAGTAATTACTATTTTTATTTTATTTTTATCAAGTAAGGTAATATAGAACCTAAGAAAAATATTCTTTGAAATCTTTCTTTGTCAACTGAGGTGAGAAATAGAATTCTCAAAAGCTATATAAATCCTATACTGATATACAGAAGTGAATCACAGACACTTGTGTGATCAATAAAAAAATATCTGCATTAGAGATTGAGTTTTATAGATGAATGATGAGAATACCCTGGAGTGATAAAAAAAAAAAGTAGTGCCTTCAAGGAAACTGACTCACGGGGAGAACTGATTAACCCATTCAGCAGGAGATTTCTTCTTATTTGCACTTACCGGCTGTCAATTCCAGTAGGTAGTTCTGGTTGTTTGTCCACTTCTGGACTTTAAGTCTTTTTTCCAGAACTCGAATTGTTCATGCACATCTGTTTTACAGATCTGGCTTATTTGGTTCCTTGTCTCTCAGGCTTATACACTCCAGCTTAGAAGGAAATCCCTAATTAGCTGACTCATATGACATGGTTGTTAGAGAGGCAGTGGGTCTACTCTTATTTTTCCTCAAGTGGGGCCCTAGAACCCACTTGGGGATCTGAAGAAAACAATCTACATTTTTAGGGTCATGAAATTAGAGAAAGAAAATTGGAACACATAGTGACGGTGGGAAAGTTGGAGAGAAAGAGAGGCAGAAGGAGACTGACAGAGAAGATGATGAATGGTTTGACATCATGGCATGGAGCATCATCTGTAATAAATAAGTGTTAAAAAAAATTCAGAAGTGTATGATACAGAAGGTTGGTGATAAACGTGACTACCAGTACAACATGACATGGACTGTAAGAAGCAGATGAGCATATAACCCACATTAGGAATAGTTCATCTTTTATTTAAAAAAAACCACATCTCCATGTGTTTTAATCACCTTTGTAATTACAATTACCCCCCCCCCCCCCAACCCCGCCCACCCCCAAAACATATAATTAAAACCTGAAGCAAATGTTTTTAATACAAAATAGTACTCTTGATACAAAAATGTTTTAAGAACATGTTATTCAACAAATTCAACAAAAATGCTGACAATTAAAACAATTCCATAAGAAGGACATTAAAGAATACCATTTAACAAAAACAGAAATAAAGTCAGTGGTATAATTCTTCAGAAAGTAAATAAACTTGATTTTAATGGAAGGCAATCAGATACATTTACATAACAATTTAAATTGTCACTTTCTTTTTCTGCCCTCCCAAGGATTTACACAAAATTTTGTATTAAATTGTTCTCAATAAACTGATTTTTAATTAAACTGACTTATGAAGTAAAAATTTAATTAATGTTACACAATAATTCAAAACAAATCATTACACAATACACATGCACTTAAATGGTTTTTACTATATATATATGTGTGTGTGCATATATATACACATACTTTCAGATTTGGCCTAATTAGATATAAAATGCCAGTTGAACAACTGAATTGATTATAGGAAGCTCCAGTCAGAAAGGAAGCTTTGATATCCAGTATGGAATATCATGGAGAAAAATAAAACAGATGTGCTTTAAAAAGGGAAAGGTCAGAAGGAAGAAAATATTTTGTTACACAGGAAGCCTTCAAATTTAAATAATGTAATAGTATTAGTTGCAAAAATGTTAACAATATTTAACACATGTAACTGAAAGTTGTACACTGGTATATTTTAAAATAATACACAGAAACTTGAATTTGTAAATAAATAACCATTTCATATGTAACAATTGAAAGTTTTTCTAGCATTCAAAAATTAAGATGAAAGATTGAAAAAAATAGCTATGTGGCTTATACACTTGCAAGCTGCCTCAGCAATTTGTATTGATGAAAAGAAAACAAATAGATCACATTCAACCAGCTTTCCCTGATGGGGAGCTTTAGATTATATTGTGGTCTGGATTATTTGCGCCAAATTCATGGCTTAAAACTGCTTGCCACCAAATAGACCTGAATAGGACTCTAGCAGTATTGATGCAATGGCCATACAAATTTTCCAGCCAGTGACAATAAGCTACCCGGTCGCTGAAGACTGAATATGTATTTAAATTTTCCATCCAACTAATAATATTTTTAAATGCACCTGCCCTTCCAGAATGATCCAGTTTAAAATGGCTACCAAGAAATATTTGGTAGTAAAAACTGAACTGTATAACTGTGACTAAATCAGCCAGGAAAGCTGATTCTTCTTTCCTCTACTCCTGGAATGGCATCAGAGCAGAAGAGATCTCTGGAACGGGCCCTTCTGTTCTCTTTGTAGAAAGTATTTGTCAGTGTCTCTGACATTTCTGTGTCCATCATCTGCATGGTCTATCTCTAGCTTTGTTATCACTGTATCTGTATAACATTGCTCTCAGTGGTGCCCTGTCTGATGCCAATCTTGTTACATGGAAAAACTTTGAAATTAGTTTACTACTTATAAAGTTCAATTTTGATTCTGTGCCGGCTCTCCTCCTGATATCATCGTTCCAAAGTTAATCTTTCCTCATTACACCTAGCATAGTACATAAACATTTCATTTCTGTCACAACTATTTTCCTACTGTCTTCTGAAGACAGTGTCCATCTTTGACACTGATAGGATAGCATTAGTAAGAATACTGTGTTGAACAGTGTTTTTTTAGTGTTCATATATACATGCTTGCATTTCAAAACTGGTGCCATTTGGCCTAAAACTTGATAGCATCTTTGTTGGATTTAACTCTCCCGTCTTCTAAAAAATGCTCATCAGAGGTTGATTAATCTGTACAATTATGGGGCTTGAACCATAGGGGGGAGGGGGGGGGGGGCGCCCTAATAAAGAAATGGCCCTGAAGAGAAATAGTGTTGCTAAACACCACCAAAAAACGGAACTATACAAAATAAAAGAGCGTCAAGCTGAAGAGAAATGGATTTAGTAAAGAAAATGAAACACCAACATAAAAACTGAAGATTAGGATCTTAATAATAAAAAAAAAAAAAAAAGGAATGTATTATGTTTACCTTTCTCTCCTAAAATATAGATATAGTAAAAAAAAATATATATATATATTTAGTTATGGTCTCAGAAAACAAAGGTAGCCGTATTAAAGTCTGATGATGAAGAATCATGTTAAAAAAATGATATACATCAGAACCAAACACACACTTGCAGGAGCCAATGATATCTACAGAAAACAACTAATGCTATATTAGTAGTTTGAACCACAAGCTAATCATTGGTTATAACGGTATCATTACAGACGTAACAATCATCAGTGAAAGATAACCATCACAATATTTCACACAGAGGTAACATGACGAAAGCATCAGCATTTAGTAATTTACTAACCATCTGAGGCCCCTGTCCCCACCCCCCCCCCCCCCCCGAGTTATATAAACATTTTTAGTCCTGTTTCTATGCTCTGAGGCTTGCTGTGCATATAGTGCTTGTCCCATCTTACACTGACAAAACAATATCCAATTCATGATATTATTGCAATCCACCTTTATTTCCAATGACATGTCCTGGTACCTAGTTTTAGACTGGGTGGGTCAGGGAGCCCAGGTCAAATTGAACCCCCCCCCCCCCCCCCCATTTTGATGGAAAGTTGAACCTGTAGCGATTGGGCCAACAGGCTTATTAGTAGATGAACTCCCTGTATGCGGTCCAGGCCTTTAAGGGGGGGAGGGACAGACCCACGGCCCCCTCCTATCCCCCCCACAAACCTGTTGTAAAAGTGACTAATTAGGAATGTTTCCTTTGAAGTCAAAGTGCATCTGCCTGAGAAACAAGGAATGAACTGTGTGCATACAAATAAGCCAGATCTTGTTTGTTTGTTTTAGTATCCAGAAGCCATGAGTTGTTAACCCTTAGGCTCGGTATTATGGATATCGCAACCTTTCGGCCTTGATTGTAAATACCGTAAATCTGGGAGAAATGTGGCTTCTCTGCCTACCTCCGGAAGTGAACCTGGACCACAAGGAGTTCGTCACCCAGTCTCTGCGCAATCCGGTTTAGCCAACTACGCTAGAGAGCTGGGCATAAGCCAGATCTATAAAACAGATGTGGACTCAAAACTCAAATTCAAAAACGAGATTAAAATCTAGAAGTGGATGAACAATCAGAAAGTTCCACCAGAGTTTACATCACTACACTCAGAGGAAAGGCAAGATGGACTTTTAACCACATTGTGACCGGTAACATAAGAATTAGAACTCTGCGCTGGCTGCTGAAGATGAGGATGGAGCATGCATGGGAATGCCCCTAGTGCTGTGATGTCAATTCTTAACTCAACTCAACTGAGGTTTTAAAGTTAAAATAGCAATTAGTCAGCACTCAATAGTCTATTGTTTTAAATCATTAAAAAGAATGATTTATGCAGTTGTTCATATCTTCAACACAAATATCATTATGACTGTGAAGGTTCCTTCAAAGTGAACGTCTGCCAACAGTCTGCATACAAAAAAGCCATATCTGTAAAATGGATGTACAAACTCAAGTTCTGGAACAAGATCAAAGTGGACAAACAACTAGAACTTTCTATCGCTGTTTACAGCTGGTGAACATGAAGAAGAAGAAGGAGAAGAAGTAGAGGAAGAAGAAGAAGAAGAAGAAGAGGAAGAAAAATAAGAAGAAGAAGACCGTACCCAGTCTACCTACAAGGCAACAGGAAAGTGTCTTTTTTAATTTTATTTGGTTCCTTTCCCTTGACATGACTACCTTGGGAGGCTACCATCTGCACAGTTCTTGGGGTCATTTGAAAACACAAGCTCTCTCCTATCAGACTACTGTAGTATTAGTAATTTTTAGTTAAATAATATCCTGTTCATCCCTTAGGATTAAAATGTGGATACATAGCGTCACTTGTTTTGTCAGTGTATTTAAAAAATATTTTTTATATTGTATAATCAGTTCTTTCAGTCACTTATGATGTAAATTCTATCATCATTACTTGAATATTATCATCTTCATAAATTCTGGTGTAATTATTCCTTACGTCCTTTTTAGGATGTAATTTTTCGTTTTTTGAAGCCCTACTCCGGCTTTTGCCAGAGGCCGCAATATAGGCAGGCCATCAATATGGCCAATTGTCTGAACGCGGTTTCTGGGACCTCTCCACGGTGATCCTCATCCACATGGTAGCACTTTGTGTCATCGGGTGTTTATCGCTTGTGTGATGTCCTGGTGGGGTAGAAAGTCAGTCAGTCATAAATTCTGGTTATTATGCTTACTTCTTGTCCTTTTTAGGACGAAATTTTTCATTATTTGAAACCCTACTCTGGCTTTTGCCAGGGGTCGCAATATAGCCTGGCCATAAATATGGCCTAAAGGCTGAATGCAGTTTCTGTGGCCTCTCCACGGTGATCCTCACCCACATGGTGGCACATTGTGTCATCGGGTGTTTGTCACTTGTGTGACGTCCTGGTGGGGTAGAACGTCAGTCAGTCAGCCAGACAGGTACTATACAAACAGTCAGTCTTCTATGGAGAAACACCAAAGGGACAAGCCAGTATCCTTGTGACTGAACAGATCAACATTATTCACATAAGCAGTGATACTGTTGAATTCTTGTAGTCCCTGTAAGGTTGGCAGCAGATTTCAAATCAGGAAATAACCACTAAGAACAACTGTAAGGGCACATATGCTATCGCTTTTATGTTATGGCTTCTGTTTATAATTCCAGGGTGCTAGATTCGATTCCAGTTACAGGCAATTTGGCAGCAGATTGCCGTGCACTGGTTTCAACAGTGGTTTCAGGCAACAATGGCAAACTTAGTTAGTTAGTTTGTTAGTCTTTCCTCTTGTGTCGAGTGCGGCACATAGGGCAGAGGTCGCGACTCTCCATGCACGGCGGTCCGTTGCAATCCGTTGTAGGTCTTGGATGTTTCAGTGGCCCATGAGCGAGCCTTCCCTGATGATAGTTCTACGTAGGGTTTCCCTTGGTCTTCCACGAGATCTTTTCCCCTGTGGTGTCCAAATGAGGGCTTGGTAAGGAAGTCTTGATTTATCCATTCTAAGGGCGTGGCCGACATAGTTCCAGCGGCGTTTTCGTATAAAATTAGACACATACTCTTGCCTGGATTCTTGCCTTATTTGTGTATTGGTTCGGAAATCTGACCATTTGAAATTTAGTATTCTTCTAAGGCATTTATTTTCAAAACTGTCTAATTTTGTGTCTAGAGTTTTCGTTGATTTCCAGCTCTCGCATCCATAGGTTAGTACTGGAATCACACAAGAATTGAAGATCTTGAGTTTTGTGTGTTTGCTAAGTGTCTTTGATTTCCAGATGTTAGACAGTTTATTGAAGGCACTAGATGCCAGTGCTATTCTAAATGATATTTCTGGTGCGGTATCTCCTGTAGATGACATCTTGCTCCCTAGATAAGTGAAACTGTTGACTTTTTCAAGGCTGTTGTTGTTCAGCGTGATATCAACTGAACTGTTGGTAAGGTCTAGAATTTTTGTTTTTGCGGTGTTAATTTGGAGTCCAATTTGTTCTAAGAAATTCTGGAGTCGATTGATTTTTTCTTGGGCGTCTGTGTGTTCTGAACTCAGGAGTGCTATGTCGTCGGCGAAGTCTAGGTCTTCCAGAATTTTGTCAACTCATGTAATGCCCAAATTTGCGTTATTTATGCACTTGCGCATGACCCAGTCGATTGCTATACCAAAAAGCATCGGCGATAGGACACAGCCTTGCTTCACTCCTGTTTCCACCGGGAACCAGTCAGAATTGCCGGAATCATTTCTTACACAGCATCGTGTTTCATTATAAAAAGATTTTATGATGTAACTACTGAGTGTTAAATTGCTTACTAAAATCACAAATAGTAAAAAAAAAAAATGCTGGAGTTGGTTCTGCTACGTTCTATAAAGGATATGCAACTAACTTTTTATGGCTACTGGTTTTTCAAATTCCAAACTACAATGTTGACTGCCAACTATACTAACCTCTATGTCATAATCCTGTAAATATATAAAGTAACATAATAATAATTGGGTTATGGTTTCACCGTTTCAAACATTCCTTTTAGATACAGTTTAACATTAATAAAAAGTTTTTTAGGCAATATTTACAAATATAATAATAATTTGCTTTTGTATTTAACTAGTTGCACAATATTTAACATGATAAGGAAACTGTTTTCTTTAACTTCTTTTGTACTAAGCAACTTACCAAGTGTTGATTAGGGTTCCCTTACATGGTAAGTTTTTATTATCTTCTTTGTTCCTTTACAGTTGTAATTTTGACACATTATATCCTATTTGTTACTTTAATTTCTTTTGCCCCATCTTTTTATTTTAAAAAAATTTAAAATAACTATCTACTCTGTACTGCTAGGCATCACAGTTTTAAGAGATAGGTAGCCAAGTTAAGGTGTGTTCAGTTGCTCAGTATGCTGTGATTTTGTGAATTCTTAGGCATTCAGTGATTCTTTCAATCCATCTCCTTCTTGGTCTCTCTCTGACTCTTGGTGTTTCCATGTTCAGGTTGTAGTCTCTTGTTGTTGGTCTCATCAGCTTCATTTCAGTCTTTGTCTCTTAATGAATTCAGTGGTTAGATTTTTCTCATGTTCTTTAATGTCCAACTCCTAAATTGGTAAATTAAGTTGGAATAAACAATTTGCATTTGGGATTTGCCTTTACATCTCTGTTGGAATAGCTTGGTGTTACCAGATAGGTAAGTTGATAGAAAATATTGTTCGTTTGTTGGAATTGTGTTTCATATACAGTTTTTAGAGCAGTTTTTGTGTGAACATCTGCATGTTTGCTGGACCTTTTGCAGCTTCATCCTTAAAGAAACACTGAAGTACACACATGCATTTTTCTACGACCCCAGTAATTATATTATTTAAACCATTTTAGACCCAGATTGTTATTTATTTTATGTAATAATTCCTGAATCTTTTTGTCACAAAAAAAAGTATAAATCACTTTTAATTTCAGAGAATATTGTGAGGACTGGGAAGATCAACAGTAGAAGAGGGAGAAACAGACCAAGAGAGATGATGATGGGTGGATTGAGATGGTGGCACGAAGGGATATCAGTGCAACTGATCCAGAAGGCAAGGGACTGAGATCTGTGGAGATGTATGAACGCCTTCAGCAGGGCCTATAATGATGGTGATAGGTAAATTCCTCTAGTCCTGTGTATATCAACAGAGTTTTTAATAGGTTTGGAAATAAATACAGTAACTAAAACTAGCACTTAGAGGGGGTTTCTTTATGAACCCACTGCTGTTTGAAAGCCAAACTGATATATTTTTCTGTATTACAATGATAGAGGTCACACGGTCATGGACAATTTGTCTTGAGACATAGTTACGATCTGTTAAAACATTGGGATTTTTTTTAGGCTCCTGTAGATTGTGAGGCCCTAAGCTATAGCTTATACCCAAATTCAGCACTGGGATTGAACCCAAGCCACTATTTCAGCAGTGGCTGTACAGTAGCTACTATACCACTTTCTGTATTCATTGTCAATAATACATAAAATAGCTCTTATCGAGTGGAATAATTAAAATGTATAACCAGGACAAAGTTACACAAATAGTTCAAAGTAGTTATCATATTACACAGGATTGAATCCAGTAACATTGTGATTCAACTTGTGATTTAATATATAAGGAATACTTACATCTTCTACAGGTTCTTTCTTCAAGCTTCCAACAATTTGTGCAACTATTAGATTCTTGAGAAAGATCAGCAAAAGTGATATGGGAAGCATGTAGAGCTCAAAGTTCCATACTATGACTAAGTACACCTGGAAATATTGAACATCATTTGAGGTGGCCGTTAATGGTGGTATACTGAATGATCAAATAGAAAGAAAACTTCATACAGACCAGGGGTTTGCAGCCTTTCTCAGGTGGCACTCTCCTTGAAAATATGGCAAGAGACCCCCCCACCCCCAACAAGCATAAAAAAGAAAATGTGATATTAAAAAAAAATTTAAAAGCACATATTGAATGTTGAATTAAGAATCGACATCACAACACTTGGGACATCCCAAAAAGGGCCCTGCCCCCATCCTCAGCAAAAGCGCAGAGTTCCAGTTCTGATGGCACAGTTAACACCCGTACATCTGTCTTGCCTTTTCCTTGAGTGTTGAGCAACAGCATCCCCTGGTAACCTCCAAGAACACCATTTTTTTTATGATGATCTATTAGTGTGATGGTCTATTTAATGATCTATTGAAAAAATCCCATGTTATTAAAAAAAATGTCAACATTAGATGTACAAATTGCTCATGAAAACAAAAACATCCTTGGCTTTTATTTTACAAATAGCGAAAAAAAAAAATTCTTTTTATAATTAAACTGGATATACACATTTTTTAAAAAGTATAACAGATTATTATTAATGCACAAAAGCAATAAATTTATAAATTGCTTGATGCAAACCCCCTCACCCCACCACCCCAAGTGCTGAAAACCACTGACTCTAAAATGATTTTTTGAAAAATCATTTCTGCGTTATGTAAATGTATAATTTGTTTTTGACTTCGAAACTCACATGAATGTTGATTACTCCATATACTTGTCTGAAATTAGTTTTAGCTGAGCTGTTGTTTTGACTCTGATATCAAAATAGCTCCCTTAATTCCCTCTGTCCTATAGCCAAAATATTTTAAGTAAGCCATTAACAAACTTTTATTACATTAAAGGACAGATGTTTAAAATAAAAAAAAAAAGGAGATAATGTAACCCTGGAGATGATTATGTTGGAGAACATTTTATTTCTGAATTAACAAAGCAGGTCAAGAAAGTGATCATGCTGCTTGGAAAATATATGTTCTCTACAATACTACCCAGGCAGTGTCTGAAATGTAGCCTGATATTTGAGAGTTTAATATGTAGGATCTTTCAGTGTTATGTTAACGAGATGCTCAATAGTAACTAACAATTGTTTCTAAACCTCCAAATTGTCACATTTAGTGAAATAAAAGACTAATTATCCAGTAAGTTATAATGACACAAAACTAAAATAAAATTGGTTTTAAAAATGTCTAGAATCCTCCACTTATTGAGCAAGATTTCAAACAAAATTATTATTCGAAATAATTTCAATGACTAAGTCCTAAAACCTTTTTCTTGTGTGTGTGTGTGTGTGTTTGTGTGTGTGTGTGTGGTTTTTGCTTACAATAAAGGCTGTAACTGTCCGAGGTGGCGACTGCCAGTCAAAGCAACTCTGGACAAATCGTCCTGTGTCGATGAACACTCCAATGAGCTGAGACATTCGGTTGATGTTGTGTTTCATTGTCTGCAAATACAACAAATTCAACGTCATCATCTAAAAATATTTATGTCATAAGATGTTAGCATCTGTGGCTTAGGCATTGCAAATGTGCTTCGTGGTTCGATAATACCTGGTTCGATTCCTGCTGCAGAAAATTAAATTAGACAGCAGACTGCTTCACATTAATTTTGACAATGGTATGAGTGCTGACCATTCAGAAGGTAATAATAAACTACTGAATGTAAAATTGCCTAGTTAAATCAAATAGTAAAAAAAAAAATTGCTGGGTTTGGTTCTGCAGTATTCTTCATCTTATTCTTCTTCTTATTATTTACTGATTGTAAACTTCGGTGAAAAGTTCTGGTTCTTCGTCCACTCCTGGACTTTGGTCTTGATCCAGAACTTGAGGTTTTACGTGCACATTTGTTCAACAGATCTAGCTTACTTATATGTAGACTGTATAAACTGGCGAAGGTGGTGTGAAAAACAATGTCCCAGCCTGATAAAAACAAACATAATAAAGAGGCCAATTTGTTTATAAGAAGCAGCTACAGAACCATGTAGGAATCAGACCAGCAGAGAGTTGATGCAATCCTAAGACTATAGAAGACATTTCAGAACAAGATAGCCTATGCAGATAAGAAGTGTTGAATATAATTTTATAGTTTGTTAATTCAGTGCTAAGCATTTGCTGCCAGAGTTTTAAAAATTTGCAGAAGAAAGAAAATTCTTTTTGCCTCAAGAGGCTCTCCATCAGAAGAAAGACTTTATGAAAATGTCCTCAAGTTGATTGCTGCTTTCTTTAAAATATATTCAATAGTATGTCTGCAGTGATGCAAACACAGTAAATTAAGAACAATCTTATGATCATTTTAGAATCCTTTATAATAATGAAATAAGTATATACAGGGCTTTTCTGCTGGCAAAAGAAGGTGCCAGTACTCACCAGCAAGTGTCTAATGCAATAGTGCTAAAACAAAAACAAAAAATCTTAAAAAGGTGGCAATACTGCATATTATTGTGTACCACCAGGAAAAAAAACTAACGTCCTGAGTACATGAAACATATGTACAAAATAATCACTGAAAATACTTACTGATATTTTAAATTTTTGTTCCGGCACTATGAGCTTTTCTTCTCTTGGGTTGACGGTTCGTATTCCTGCCTTTACCTGTAAATGACATAGAACACAAGATTTTTTTAAAACATATGGTTTACACATTTAAAATAGTCAGTGAGGTAGAAAGTACTGGTCTACTAGGGTTAGGTTTCATACCGTGAGGTAGACAGTAATGGTCTACTAGGGTTTGGTTTCACACAGTGAGGTAGAAAGTACTGGTCTACAAGGCTTAGGTTTCACACAGTGAGGTAGAAAGTACTGGTCTACTAGGGTTTGGTTTCACACAGTGAGGTAGAAAGTACTGGTCTACAAGGCTTAGGTTTCACACAGTGAGTTAGACAGTACTGGTCTACTAGGGTTAGGTTTCACACAGTGAGGTAGAAAGTACTGGTCTACTAGGGTTATGTTTCACACAGTGAGGTAGAAAGTACTGGTCTACAAGGCTTAGGTTTCACACAGTGAGGTAGAAAGTACTGGTCTACTAGGGTTTGGTTTCACACAGTGAGGTAGAAAGTACTGGTCTACAAGGCTTAGGTTTCACACAGTGAGGTAGAAAGTACTGGTCTACAAGGCTTAGGTTTCACACAGTGAGGTAGAAAGTACTGGTCTACTAGGGTTTGGTTTCACACAGTGAGGTAGAAAGTACTGGTCTACAAGGCTTAGGTTTCACACAGTGAGGTAGAAAGTACTGGTCTACTAGGGTTAGGTTTCACACAGTGAGGTAGAAAGTACTGGTCTACTAGGGTTAGGTTTCACACAGTGAGGTAGAAAGTACTGGTCTACAAGGCTTAGGTTTCACACAGTGAGGTAGAAAGTACTGGTCTACAAGGCTTAGGTTTCACACAGTGAGGTAGAAAGTACTGGTCTACAAGGCTTAGGTTTCACACAGTGAGGTAGAAAGTACTGGTCTACTAGGGTTTGGTTTCACACAGTGAGGTAGAAAGTACTGGTCTACAAGGCTTAGGTTTCACACAGTGAGGTAGAAAGTACTGGTCTACTAGGGTTAGGTTTCACACAGTGAGGTAGAAAGTACTGGTCTACTAGGGTTAGGTTTCACACAGTGGGGTAGAAAGTACTGGTCTACAAGGCTTAGGTTTCACACAGTGAGGTAGAAAGTACTGGTCTACTAGGGTTTGGTTTCACACAGTGAGGTAGAAAGTACTGGTCTACAAGGCTTAGGTTTCACACAGTGAGGTAGAAAGTACTGGTCTACTAGGGTTAGGTTTCACACAGTGAGGTAGAAAGTACTGGTCTACTAGGGTTAGGTTTCACACAGTGAGGTAGAAAGTACTGGTCTACTAGGGTTAGGTTTCACACAGTGAGGTAGAAAGTACTGGTCTACTAGGGTTAGGTTTCACACAGTGAGGTAGACAGTACTGGTCTACAAGGGTTATGTTTCACACAGTGAGGTAGACAGTACTGGTCTACTAGGGTTAGGTCTCACTCATTGAAGTAGACAGTACTGGTCTACTAGGGTTAGGTCTCACTCATTGAAGTAGACAGTACTGGTCTACTAGGGTTAGGTTTCACACAGTGAGGTAGAAAGTACTGGTCTACTAGGGTTAGGTTTCACACAGTGAGGTAGAAAGTACTGGTCTACTAGGGTTTTGTTTCACACAGTGAGGTAGACAGTACTGGTCTACTAGGGTTATGTTTCACACAGTGAGGTAGACAGTACTGGTCTACTAGGGTTAGGTTTCACACAGTGAGGTAGACAGTACTGGTCTACTAGGGTTAGGTTTCACACCGTGAGGTAGACAGTACTGGTCTACTAGGGTTAGGTTTCACACAGTGAGGTAGAATGTACTGGTCTACTAGGGTTATGTTTCACACAGTGAAGTAGACAGTACTGGTCTACTAGGGTTATGTTTCACACAGTGAGGTAGACAGTACTGGTCTACTAGGGTTAGGTTTCACACTAAAGAAGGTCACTCTTGATAGGCATTTTGGGTATACTATCTGGAAAAGTAAGGAGAAATAACTGTGATGAAGTTTGTGGAACTTTACACTTTTCCTTCTGTGAGACTCTGTAATTGGGAAGTACTGATGTGCTAGGGATGGAAGCCACACCGGTATAGCCGCTAGACTCTTGCCTTTGACCTAAAGGTCACTGCTTCAAGTCCAAACTGTGTCAGGTTTTTAAAATCAAAAATGACAATGACAGGTCAACTCAGCCTAAAATGGGTACCAGGTAAAATCCTAAGTACTAAAGGTGGCTGGCACAATGTTGGCCATATCACCAGTCGAGTGCCACTTGTTCTTTAAAAATATGAGTCTTGCATCATATACGCAGTGCACCATTGAGGTGAAAATGGTCATTTACTTACTATTAGGCTTGGATTCCTACTAATGGTGGCCACTCTTTACAGGCATTCTGAGCACACTACCCTGGCTAAAGGGGGATGCTTGGTCTCAAGGCATGGTGTCCGCCTCGAGTGCTAGAGGTTTTGTGTTCAATTCCCAGTAAGGGTTGGTATTTTTTTACGTGGACTTGGACTTCTAGTAATTCCCCCTGGTCTGTGGGTAGTGAGATCAGACGCCCGTGTGCATTGTTGTGCACATAAAAAAATCCCTTGGCAGTTGGAAATAAAAAAGAATAGTCTTACCGTGCTGTCTGGGCAACATTTGGAGTTAAAAATCTACCCAAAGTATTTCAGGATCCTCGCAGGTGCTACAAAGCCTGTGCACTGTGCTGAGCTTCTTCGTACTCAGGCTTGAGTTAGAAAAAGAATCGAGCACTTATGGGTTACTACCCGTGTGCCATGATGTTAATCCATTGTTCAAACCTCAAACTAACCTGGCTAAATAAGAGGTAGGATAAACTGTGGTGTCTCCTGTGATGAAGTCTATGGAATTGAACCCTTTCACCTGATAAGAATCTTTAAAAATGACTTTTTTTTCAAAACTGTGTTTAAATTGTTTAATTATCTGAAATTCTACCCTAAAAAATAGAAGAAGTGAAGAAGAAGCATAAGAAGTATGAATTCTAGATCACTTTTTATTAAAATTCAAAATATTGTGTGTAACTTTGCAACGTCAAAAATCCACTTTCTGTTAAAGGATATATTCACTAAGTTATCAATAATTATTATAACTATAATTAAGCCATCTTACAGCAAAGAATATTATACAAAGCAAAGTAAATATTTTATGCGCAAGCTGAAGCTGCAACACAACATGAAATGCTGCAATTTCAGTTTTTAAAACAATAATTCAAAGATTTAAAAATCCATTTATGTGATGAGGAATTGAGTCTGAATATTTCAACCCTTTGGCTGGAAAAGTGAAAGTATATAACATGGGTTAGATTGCTGAATTTGATTACCTTGACTAAAGTAATTAGACAAAATGCTAGAATCTTACGTGGTTGAAGACTAAATCCATCTCTAACAAAATGGCTCCTTTAGATTTATGAACCATTTTTCTATCCTTGAGTGCGTACCAGCGCCGCTCACCATTCTTGATCTGTATGAAAAAAATCACATACATCTCAAGAAACATGAAGTAAGATTAATTATTGTCAGTTAAACAAGTTTAAGTAACCTAAGGAACAAGGGAATGTAGATTACTTCTTCATATACACTTTCTGAGTTGATGTGGTGACTTCAGTCACAAGCGTGGGTGGTGGGGTTAAGGATGTTTCACTGCATACTGATCCTGTAACAAACTTCAGGCACCAGTAGGCTCTTGGTTGGATTTACTGATTAATGTAAGACTTCCGCCATATTTCTTGTGTTACACCAAACAAACTGAGTCATAACTCTGAATTAAAATGGAAATTGTGAACTTCGACAGCTGCAGTAGTAGAAACTAGAAAAAGAAAATATCTGTACAACCTACATCCACATTATGGTTCCATGATGCGTTGAAAACATGCTCTATTAAATGACAGATTGTTTCAATATCCATACAGAATAATTACTACTGGATGATAAATGTCCATGATACAGATCCTACTTTTGAAATCAGCTGCCTGAGAGGGGAGGAACCAACAGTCTGCATACAAATAAGCCAGATCTATAAACAGATATGCATACAAAACTCAAGTTCTGGAACAAGAGCAAAGTCCAGAAGTGGATGAACGACCAGAACTTTCCTCTGGAGTTTACATCTGGTGAAAACTAAGAAAAAAAAGATCCTACTAAAATGTGAAATTGGTAAAATGTCCATAAATTTATATTAAATCAATATTTGGTGACAAAAGAGAGAACCTTACAGTATGTGTAAGCTTTTTCAAATTGGAATGACTCTCATTGTCTGCATCTTAAAGGTTTCAAAGAACTTAAATCATGATGGATTAGAATCTTTGAAAATGAGGCAAGCCACCATGTTTAAGACCAGATTTCTTGGGTGAGACCTATACCAGGGCATCACATATTTGCTATATAGTAATAGAAGAATTATTTTGGGAAACACCCTATCGTTACCAATGCTTTTCCTTGAGGGTAAATGATATGTATATGGCAGTTCTAGAGGCTTGTTGGGTACCCTACCTCTAAAAATGGAAAAGAGAAGATGACATCACCACTCTGAGGCACTGGAATATCATACAAAACTACACAGAAAACTGTTACCTGAAACGTCATCAAGACAATTATGTGAGTAATCTTGTTGATCACTCATTGATAAAATATGCCTCTCACAAATTTATAGGGTGGAAAGTATAACCCGACAATGCAAAGAACATATCAGAGCATATGTTGATAAGGGGGACAAAAACACACAGGTTTTCAAAATAATAAATAGTATGCATTTAAAAAATTATAAATTGAAGCAATCATTTAGAACTTAGCTGGTTTAAGTCAACAATTATTTAATTGAGATGTACAGTGTAACATACCCTTAACAATGGTATTGCCACTTTCCCTAAAAACTCCACTTTCTTATTACGATCCTCATCAAATACTGTAACCTCCAGCACGGAATGAATATCTTTAACCTGGCTGAAAGGAAACAACATAAATTAGTCACCACTTGTACAAAATATTAACAATTGTATGAACAGAAAAATATAACTGCAACCTAAGATAATAAAGCATGAATAACTCATTCTTTAGTTGATTTTCTATATTTCTCTCTTGAGTAGAGAATGTCACACTTAGTTAAGCAACATTCTAATACCAACATCTGACTTCAACAAGCATTTTAGTAATGTGTAGTTCGAATACAAAGACCTTCAAAGTATCTATCTGGCCATGACGGCAGTTTTAATCTTCAGAATTTGTAACCGATGTGGGAGTTTCAATGCTCATAACTTGTACATGGAACCTTTTACACATCGAGATTCTCAGAGAACTTAACTCAAAATTTCCCCTTCTGCGAGGCTCAGTGGACTGACCCACAGAGTCAAACTGATAGGAGACAAAAATGAAATCCGGATAATTCTAGGTATCAAATCCAAGAGAGTATTATGCAGACAAGTGCGCCAATTTCAAAACTCCTGGTGCGTCAATCAATAAATAATAAATTCACATAAAAATATATCACAAACAGTGTTCAAAAGAGTAGAATTTCAAAACTTGCTCACAATGTGAAAACCTTGTTCCACTCTGGATTGAGAGTTTTGTACTCTGTATGAGTCTGCACCCTGTCATTGACCAGCTCTAAGACACAGAAAGGATCACTCAGTCCCCCAAAGTCTGCTGCCTGAAGTCCATGGGCTCGAAATACTGTCCAAAAAATAAAAAGAATTATTCCCTGTCACATTTTACTGTAATCAGAAATATTTTTTGTCATATTGATTTCTAAATTGTTTTTCCCAGATTTAAACCGTTGAGATGAATATATTCTTGTACTGCATCATATCATATCTTCATAATTCTCATCATCATTATTAGCCTCCTGGAAGTAAGCAAACAGTGTGGAAGCACAAACAGGTTATTACTCTCTGAAGAGAGTGGTGTAGCAGGGATTGGCGAGAAGATCTGGCTGACTGGTTGACATTCTACCCTCAGGGAAAAGGCAAAATGGATAAACAGACTGCTACTGGTATAATAACTGGAACTCTGTGCTGGCTGCTGTCCCAAGTGCTATAATGTAGGTTCTTAACCAGTCATCATCACTACTGTACACTAGACACACCAATTGTGTGCATGTGGCACGTACTTGCATTACTATCCGTATATGGGAGACACAAGTGTAACAGGGTGACAACGCAGTTTGGGTTGTTATAATTTTGGTTTGGCTGCACATGATTTAAAAACTGGCAAGCCTGAAAATCGGAACTCGCCGGGAATGAAGTCACAGTGGCTGTAAAAGGAACAGGCAGCAGGAGATTTTGCTCCATTGGCTTTTTGGATTGTGCATCAGAGGCAGTGAGATAAATATTTTGTAATTCTGACTTTTGGTGCGACATAAGTGGACAGACTGAGCGTAGAGCGATGGATTGGCTCATTGATTTCACAGTGTTGGTACCTTTCAATCGTTCGGCCTTAGATCTAGATTTCCATCAATAGTTAAATTGTGTAAGACCTATATATCCAGGTGTATCCTCCCTCTGAGTTTGATTACAGGTTGTTGGAAGTGATTTACTGATCTGATGGTATTTTGAGACGTAAAACTCTCATGTTTACAAGATGTTTTGATGATTTTTGCCATCATTGATGTAATGCCTTACTCTGAACTAGGGCTGTACCAAATATTCGCTTGGTATTCGCTTCGAGGCCAAATAGTGGTCCTAATAACTATTCAGCCGAATAGTTGCGGTCAAGCTAAATACGAATAGTGGTTACCTAACAACCGTTTCTGGACTGGTGGAAAATAAACATATCAAGATTTTCCACCTTGGTTCATACTGTCCAGCGTTATCTTTGTGCAACACCTACGAGTGTACCAAGAGAACGTCTGTTTAGTACAGCTGGAAAAATCTTCAGTGAGACAAGAAGCTGCCTCAATGCTGACAACATGGAACGAAGTTTTTTTGAAAGTTAATGCCGCTTTCATGGATTAACTAAGCTATCAGTGACAGTTTACAGGTTTAGATACTTGTTATAAAACTGTAACGAAATATAGGCAGAAAAGGGGTTAAATGAACAAGCATACATTTCAGACCACCACACAGCGTACTAATCCATCACTGTGTGAAATGACAGAAATAGGTGATTAGAAAGCCATGGCCTAGCCAGCTATGCAGAACACACCGCCATGACATCTGACAGTGAGGGATGAAACATTCGACGAGTGCCCGTGAACTGTGAGATACGTTCATCCAGACGTGACCACCAAAGACAGGTGATAGAGAAGTGATGGAGAGGGTACGCCAGAAAGGCGGGAAAGCGGGGGAATAAAGTTAGTACCGGAACCGCTGGAGAGGACAGTTAAACTTGAATTTTAGCACGGAAACGCTTGATTAGGACAGGTTAGGAGAAAACTAGTGCTGTACTTCGTT